ACTTGCCACCTGACCTCTTGCAAAACCTTGCTGAGTGTTCCTCGAAGGCTAAAAGACTGTCTGAAGCGCAGAGGAAACACTTCAAAGTATTAATTGAAGTGGTAAGTGTTACGACTTTATTTATATAACATAATCGTAAATATCAATATTTTTTCAGCACACGATCTAACATTCCGCGCAGACTGTATGTGTACATATACACTTTTACTCTTAAATCACTACTGTAATGTGATACAAGTGATTAATTTTTATCTCTCGTGCAAAATACATGACGTTTATATTAAAATTATTCACTGTTTTACAAGGATTCCAGCAACGCCGAGCACATGGGGGAGAGAGAGGGTGGAAGCGAGCGAGGGGGCGTGGGGGGAGGGGAGGTAGTACGTTTGGCAGTTGGCACAGGCCCAGGTGTAACGCGTGTATATTTATCAGTTCTTAGGTGACTAAGCTTCTCTCTTATAAAAAGCCAGTGAAATGACCTGGGTGAATATAATTAACATAGCTGGGATTCTTGTAACATACTGATTAATTTGAATATAAACATGCTATAATTTGCACTAGACAAAACAATTTTAGTACCGTAATCAAATTAGTACATGTGCACTCCAGCTTTGCACTAAGGTCATTTATTTCTATTACGTTTCTTTTAGTATGGTGTGTGCATGTAAATGGATGAAAATAAATGAAGAAATCTATGTAAATCTACCCAAAAATACAGTTGAAAAACTTTTTTATAAAATGTACTACAGTACTGTACACTAATGTACAAAATTTTTATCTCTTGAGCAAAATATATGACGTTTATATTCAAATTATTGGCTGTCTTGCAAGGATTCCAGCAATGCAAATTATAATCTCCTAACTTTAGTCTGAGATATTATATAAGATAAAAACTGTAAGCCTAAAAGCCTGGCTGGGGGGGGGGGGGACTGATGGCTCCGCCACCCAGCGAGGGGTTGGGGGGGTTGAGGTGATAAGTTTGAGGTGAAGGTCTCTGTGTGTTTATTTAACAGTCCTACTAAGCTTCTCTCATTTTAAAATGCCAGTGATATGACCTAGGAGAATATAATTAACATAGCTGGGATTCTTGTAAGATACTGATTTATTTGAATATAAACATGTTGTAATTCGCACTAGACATAACAATTTTAGTACCGTAATCAAATTAGTACATGTGCACTCCAGCTTTGCACTAATTTTATTTTACGTTTCTTTTAGTATGGTGTGTGCATGTAAATGGATGAAAATAAATGAAGAAATTTATGTAAATCTACCCAAAAATACAGTTGAAAAACTTTTTATAAAATGTACTGCAGTATTGTACACTATTGTACTACATTTTTTATATCTTGAGCAAAATATATGACGCTTATATTCAAATTAATCTTTGTCTTGCAAGGATTTCAGCAATGCAAATTATATTATCCTAACTTAAATCTGAGATATTATATAAAATAAACATAAAGAAATCACCAATCCTTTATCTTGAACACAAGGGTGGTGGGAAGACGGGTGGGGGGGGGAGGGGGCGGAAGGTGAGTTGACAGAATGTCTGGCGTTTGTTTGTTTATTTATTTGAGATAAGATTTGACAGTTGGCGCTGAAGGCCTGCCTGCTTGTTTATTTATCATTACTTAAGAGCGACTAAGCTCTTTTCATAATCTTCCACCCAAACGACCTGGGTGAATGTAACATACATTAGAGGGATTCTTGTAAGATAGTAATTTATTTGAATGTTATTTTTTTTTCAATTTAAATTTTAATTGTTTATTCCTTGATAGAGGCAGTGGGATCCTAGTGCTGTCACTTGGTACCCCTGTACCATAACACCAGAAGCAACTGGCCAGTGTCACAAGTATATACAGTAGAGTACAGTCATCCCTTGGTTATCGTGCCTAATTGGGACCCCGCTGATAACGAAAGTACAGAACCTATGGGATTTATTCTAATTGGTGCATTTACCCAAGACCCAACCCCAAGTTTCCCATTTTACGACCATTTAGACCCACTAAATATACATATAATGATATGGTAAATATCATAAACACACATAGGCATGGCTAGGCTTATTACAAAGTGATGAAAAGGGTAAGCTTAATACTGTAGCCCACAAAACATGTAGCTATGCTTTTTTTATTTGGTCCCCCGTCATACGAGTCCATTTTCTCTCACATGAGGACGCCTGAGTCCTCCGTTTTCTCTCTTAATCTTAGAGTGCACCAGAAACTTTACTATTTTTAGTAATGCCACAGAATTTGAAATTGCAACCCCAATTGCAACTGAGGTTGCAATTGTTGAGGCAACTAGATATGTCTAATTACAGCAAATGTGTTATTGTCAATTTGTAGGTGAAAGATTTTATTCTCAATAGATGTAGGTTAATATTTCACCTGTAGTCAAATGCTTAAAAAAAACCCAAGTAAGGAAGCATATTCCTTTAACACATAATATCTGACCAGTATGGGGAGGATCATCGTGTCTCCGTCAGGGGGTCGTGGAGTGGTGGTCCAGCAGGCGTCACTTTTGGGGGGGGGGGGCACGGACGGATATGCGATCGGACGTTAACCGGCGCATGACTGTACATATAGGGATTTAGTTATTATTTATATGAAAATGTAGTTTTATTTTATTTTTATTATATTTTGGCCGTAAATACGAGTGAAATAAGGACGTAAATTGAATTGGGTCCTAAATGAACTAGGGTTTTAAATATGAAAAGTTGTTGGTCGAACCGTTGTTATTGGAGGCTTTACTGCCTATGTATGTGTTATATATACAGCTGCTCCTCGACTTACGACGGGGTTAGGGACCCAAATCCAGGTCGCAAGTCGAAAATGCTTAAATAATACATAGAAAATCTAGAATGGGTGTCTCTTTTTCTTCTCAGAACCACAAAACTCTCACCTTTAAGCTTGCCAGCCATTTTATAGTGAATTACAAACGAAAATTTTATCAGTACAAAGCACAATCAATAACATTGGGACTCGAAAATATGTAATTTGACAAAATTTTGGTACGATTGAGGCAGTCGTATGTCCAGGTGATCCGCACGTACGACCGCCGCAGTCGGTACCATTTTTTTTCAAACGATGCGCGTATTTTCTAGACCAAAATGTTTCCGTCCCGTACAAGAGCGTCGCGTGACTCGGGTCGCCTCGTGGCTACAGCACCCACGCCGTAGTTGGTGTTTGGCTGTCGTCGTTTCCTTAACTGATCACGCTGTGTACCGAAACTATTTTCATATCTAATTCACTTTAGAATGACTGGAAAGCGTAGAAATAAGAGTGCTGGTGGTGCTCAGAAGAAAAGGAGACAATCAATTACTTTTGAGACGTAAATGAAGATAATAATGCGGTATGAAAATGGAAAAACTGTAGCAACCATTTCACACGACCTTGGCTTTTCGCACTTGACCACATCTACTATTTTGAAAGACAAGGAACGTATTCGTGAGGTAGTGAAAGGATCAACACCTATAAAGGGAACTATAATAACGAAGAAAAGACAAGGTCCCATTCATGAGATGGAAAAATTACTTGCGATATGGATGGAAGACCAGATACAAAAGCATGTACCCTTAAGCCTTCTAACCTTACAGGCTAAGGCAAGAAGCCTTTTCGAAAGCCTGAAGGAGCAGGCAGGAGCTGAGTGCGACCAAGCCATCACAGCAAGTCATGGGTGGTTTCAAAGATTTAAGAACCGCTACAGTTTACATAATGTTAAGGTGAGTTGAGAGGCAGCAAGTGCAGATGTTGGTGCTGCCGCAGCTTTTAAGGAGGAGCTAGATCGTGTCATCGTGGAGGGAAATTATTTGCCTGAGCAAATATTCAATGTGGATGAAACTGATTATTATGGAAGTGCATGCCTGAACGAAAATACATCCACAAAGAGGCGAAAACAATGCCGGGATTCAAGGACCGAATTACACTTCTGTTGGGGGGGAATGTAGCTGGTTTCAAGATAAAGCCCTTCATGACATATCATTCAGAGAACCCAAGGGCTTTTAAACGTGTCAGCAAGCATACACTGCCAGTGTTTTATCGAAGTAAAAAGAAAGCCTGGATGACCCTAGTACTGTTTGAGGATTGGTTCATGACTTGTTTCTTTCCACGAGCCAAGGAGTATTGTCTGCAACAAGGGATTGCATTCAAGATTTTAATTTTGGATAATGCTCCGGGACACCCACCACACCTGGACGACATGCGCCCTGCTGTTAAGGTACTCTTCATTCCACCTAACACTACCTCTGTCATCCAACTCATGGATCAAGGTGCTATTGCATCTTTTAAAGCTAATTATTTACGTACGACCTTCGCTCAGGCTGTAGCTGCTACTGAAGGTGAGAAAACGCTCAAAGTTTTGGAAGGAGTACAACATTTAGAAATGTACAAGGAACAAGCTGCAGCATGGGATGAAGTTACAGGTCAGTGCATGAATGGAATATGGAAGAAAGTCCTGAAAAGATATGTGAACAGTTTCAGAGGATTTAATGAAGAGAAAGTAATTTCTGAGATTAGTAACAAGATAGTGGTGTTGGGTAAATAGCTTGAGTTAGAAATTGATAATGAAGATGTTGAACATTTAGTTGAAAGTGTAGCAGAAGATCTAAGTAACGAGGATCTTATCGAACTGGAAGCACAGAAAATTGCCGAGGAAGAAGAGAGTCTATTTGTAGAAGAAGAACCTGCACCCCCCAAAAAATTTTCAGCGCCTTTCCCAGAGCTCTATTTTATTATGTCATAAAGTTCAGGGTTAATCAGGACTTGGCAATGAACCAAACGGGGTCCAGTTTATCAATATTTCATGAAGTTTATTTAGATCTTACGATGATTAGTGGGGCTTCCTAACACTACATTAAAGAAGGACCAAATGTTGCACTGACGACGTCTGAAAATTAGTAAATCCTCAAGTAGCAGTTTTAACTCCCAATTCCCCAACCATATTGAAATTTTCAACACCTCAATCTGAAAAGAATAAAATTACAAATATTTACAACTTACTTAGTGTGCTTGGTCCTCTTCTTGGGGTTCAACTGAGTGGCATAGTAAGCAGGAAGTTTCTTCACACGAACCATACGGGTTCCCCCATTCTTTTCACCACCAATGGGTTTCTCAATGAAGGTCTTTGGCTTCTCAATTACCTTTAGAAAAAAAATAATTAAGAATTTACAGGTGTTTTACTTAAAAACGTTTTATAAAATGTATACTACCAGTTAATTAAATTTTAACAATCATCTGACAACTCTTTGCAACTAAGTGACACACCATAAATATCTTTAGCCATAGATTCACAGCAGGAATTCAAGATTATTTCTTACTTTTCTTGGATACATCTTAAACATTTGGTGGATCTTCTCATCAAAAGCCAAGTAAATGAAAGAGTGAGGTGGTGGTGCTACAAATACTCCAATGGATAAGGTCGAGTAAACCTTGTTTTATTTGCTACTTTATAAAGGCCATGAAGATATTGCAGATTTATAAGCTCTCCCTTCACATACCCTTTCAAAGTTATATTGGGAAAAAAAAAAAAAAAAGTGATAGGGTCATTCATCCTTTGGGTGAAAATCAGGTGAAATTCACTCTTAAGTCAAGAAACACATATGCACTGTGCAAGTTAGTAAGAAAGGGAAGAATTTGCAAACTACAAGAATAGGTACCAAGGAGTTCCCCTTTCCACAACCAAGTAACACATCAGGTTAACCAGTGCATGTAAAACTGACCAATGACTCGTATAAACAAGGCAAACTATATGATCTTAGTCTCCTCCAGAATTCCAACAGGATGAGGACAGAACACTTATCTGTACCCACTTCTGAGGCATTACTGTACTGTACATGGAATGGGATACAAGAGGCTTTGGGGGAGTTATAGTTGAAGAGGAAATCAATTCCTTGCAAGATAAATTCCTGCCAACAAAATTCACACCATGAGGTTTACTGACACGAACAGCTCTCTGTATGGCAGCTCAGTTATTATTATCCACACTGTTTCAAGATAAAAAAGGTGGGCATATATTAGTGTTCGTGACAGAAAAAGTTGTAAAAATATTAGTAAGTTGGAAATCCTTGTCAGTTTTGGGAATTTTCTTCAAGTAAGTCAGTCTCTGGTTAACCCAAGATACCATTGCTGAGTAAAGGTACTATCAATACCTGTACACAGTAACATTCAGAACAACACCCACCTTCAACATTTTTACTAACACCACCTTGCATACTTTCAACAGACCAACACACAACACTTTCAACCTACCCTCCTGCGTTTACCATAGCGGACGGTGCCTGCTTTGACAGACTTTTTCACCGGCTTTTTCACCGGCTTTTTCACCGGCGTTTTCACCGGCGTTTTCACCGGCGTTTTCGCCGACGTTTTCACCTTTGTCTCCACCATGGTCTGCAAAAGGAAAATAGTAATTTAATTATTCACTTTTTTTTCTAATTTGGGTGACCAAACTTTATTCTATTATACAGTACTGTTCAGTAATTTCTGCTACAACGCGATAGTTGCTTTCATGTGAAACCTCGCACTATGGAAATCCGACCAATAAAAATCACAGGTCTTTTGGAGAAAATAGAGTTAGGTGCAAATTACTTAAAATTGAAACAAATATGGTAGTTAGCGTAACACAAAGGATAGCACAGATTTGCTAGCACTTGAGTTTTTTCCAGCAAAACATCTTGCTTTAAATTTTTTTGCATTTTCTCCAGTGTTGCATAACACTCCTTTATTCCCACTGCACGAACAATATCGCATGTTCTTTAAGTGCATTCAAAACGCTTAATAACATCGAGCTTCTCTTAAAGCGTTATAGCCTGTAACAGATAAAACTCAATATAAATACGCGCAGTCCACGGGGAGGTAACAGGGGAACAGCCACTGGGCTTGGCGGCCACATCAACGGGGTGATCAGCTGGACACTTGACTCATAATGCCAGTACGGTAGAGCTTGCATTAGAATAGTATGACACAAATAAGTATACAACATCCATCGTTGGCTGAGATTTATGTTCATTGCACCAAATTTCTTATAATATTTATTTACAGTATTTATTTTTTTTTTTTACGGGGATTAGCTCACCTGGGCACAGGTCACTGACCCACATCAGGGCCTAGGGGGCAAAAATGTATTATTATTATTATTATTATTATTATTATTATTATAATAATTAATTCACAGTAAATAAAATATATAATAAAAAATACAAATTTGAAAATAAAATAAATTAATAATGATGATAATAATACTAATAACTGTAATAATAATAAGAAAGATATAAAAAAATAATAATAAAAAATGAGAAACAATATATGTACAGTGGGGTATGCTATAACGAACGGATCCTACTACGAATATCCCTATAACGAACGGTTTTACCAATAAAATTGAGAATGTTATAACGAACGAAACTCCTACAACGAACATTATTTAATTTTTTTTTTCTAATTTAGTGTTTTTTTATTACAAATATTAATGATATTCTTTATTTCAGGGGTTTAGATGCATATTTATGCACTTTTTTACAATTTTTACAATTCTATATAATATTTTTCATTGTTAAGTGGTTGTATTTGGGGGCCTGGAACGGATTAATCCTACAACGAACGAATGCTATAACGAACAAGGTTCTAGAACCAATTAGATTCATTATAGCATACCCCACTGTATGTTGTATTGTCAATAGTAAGAGAAACAATTGAGACCCTGCATTTGTGTATAAATGAGGCAGAAAGTCAGATCAGCAACCTGGGACTTGGTCACAATTTTCGTGATGCCATATGGCAGCAGGGTCTACCATTATACAACACATTATGCTTCCAATATCTTCCCAGGTGGTAGTACCTCCCTGTTTGGTAGCTGCCTATGATACGAGAGGATGAAAATGTTAAACTTCTACTTCACTTCTTAATACCTGTAGTTCGTAGCCTATATTATTACTTAAATCTTGTAACAACGCAGCACTTAATGGGAAGATGCTAAGTTAGTGGATAAACTATTTAAAAATCTGTTCATGGGTGTCAGAAATGTTTTTGTTGGTTAAGTATCCCAGCACTGACATCTGTTGACAGTTGCGAGTTGACTTCTGCTGGCTGTTGCCCATGCATCGAGATAAGCAAAATTCCCACCAAGTCCAGTGGCCGTTTCCCTGAGAATTTAACCCCCCCCCCTAAACTGCGCGTATATAAGCGCGTACAGGTACAGTATTTATATCAAGTTTTATCAGTTATATAAATGATCTGGTATATATCCAGCCATACAGACTGTAGTTCATTACCTATTGTGCTATATGTTTGGTATCATTTGTTTCTGTTTGGTACAAAACAAAGAAATAATGAAAAGGCTTCATTCAAAAGTGAATTTCATCTGTAACTTTGGCCTTCTATGATATTTAATAATTTCTAACATCCTCTCTCAAGTGCTAATGTCTTGAAATCATTTTCATTTTTATATTCCAGACATTTAACATTATTTGAGAGAATAACAGGTTTGCTTACCAATTGTGCACATACAGTATTTAGTTTAAATAAATGGACAGCTACATGAACATTTTCTATGAGCCAAACAGCTATTTGTAGCTATAGACAAGGTCACGAGGGGCGTGGCACATGGGCCAGGTTAGCATGGAAATAGTACAATACACCCTCGATAACTAGGCAGTTGATAACTCGGAATTTTATGTACTATAACTCGGCACGGATATATCGAAATGTATTAGTATAATCCGAGAAATGCCGAGATATATAAAATTATCTGGGAAAGTCTTGGTGTATTTGGCCACCTGCATCACCTACCATGCCTCTGTGTCTCCTAGTATAATGCTTCATTCTTCCCCTGCAGGGCTGGTAAGTGTTACCTTTTTACATTTAGTAATTACATGTACAGCAGCTAAAAAAAGTATCTGTGCATATGTTGTGTGAAACAATACGATACCACGGACAATAAGTTTTGGGATAGGCTAGTTGTCACCTTATACTGTGTGATAGTAATCACTTAGCTGTTTTTATTTTATTCGTATATGCCAGCTCACCCCGTGTTGAATACTGAATGGCAGTGGGTGAAGACACGACTTGTACGTACAACTTCGGAAGTCATCGGACCCACGCTGGCAGATACTTTTTTTAGCTACTGTACAGTCAGCATAAAATTATTCTGCACTCATAGGAGCGATGGCTCTCGCAACGAACACTGCGAGACTGATGCCATGTATTGGAAAAGTTGGTACCTCTGATTGCATGATTCATTGTAAAACTAATGTGCGGTTATTCCTTATATAAGGCGCCACCCCGGGCAAAGTGCGTTTTTTTGTGGATATCACTATTTTCACCCTTCCTCTACATGTTGGTGTTGGATGTAACCTACTAGAAATATGGTTGAATGTCCTTCAAAAATAGGGTGTCTTTTCGCCTTAGGCTGGGAGCTACGTGTCTGGCTGTGCGCTCAGTAAGTAAAGGTGGTCACATCCCGTTCAGTGAGAGGAGCGCGAACCATAAAACCCATTACACTAAATCCAGATAATGTCATAGCAATATATAATACAGGTATACTGTAGTTTACTACGTTTAATCACCCACATACGGTAGAAAAGGCAGGCACTCTAGAAACTGAGGTGCCGTATAGGAATTTCGCATACTATGAGATACAATGAGAATGTAAATACTAATGATTATAACCACTATCTGAGAAAGTGATGAGAAGTGGCATAATACAAGACCTCAACCAGAAAAAACAATAAGAATCATATGTAACCTTGGAAAGTTGTACTATATTACACATCGGTAACTGAGCTACCGTTAAGAAACGAACTGCATCTCTCTAATATGTCACAATACAGTATATGATGAGAATAGGGGGTTGACTGGGGATTAACTGGTAGTAAAATTCACATAAGCAAACACATTGTCAGTGTAATTTAACACAGTGTAGCAAAGAATTTCGCCAGAGGAAGTGTGATCTTTTAAAAGAATGTGATGAATCTGTTAGAAACGGAGCAGTTTCAATCTGCAAAGGGCAGACCATCAAAGCAAACAGCAGGAGTTGTAATACGCCATACTCCTGTCATAGTTATATGCTAGGTGGCTCAGTGTTTCCAAGCACTCCGCAGCCTTGTGGATAAAACACCACGGCCTACAGGACAGATCCTACATCAGCTTGGAACTGGGCAGCCTCGCTGCACAATGCCTGAGAAGGATAGAGCATAGCAGCTACCATCCAAAACAGACCATTCACCACTGCCCCCAGCATCCGACAAGAACTTGGATTGGCCTGCACACCACAATGAGAAAGACACAACAGCAATGACCTCCATGCCCATATACCCACAAAGAAGCCACACCTGACTGAGGTACAGTACACATGGAAAGGTGCCTGGTTTCTTGTGGATGTGAGAACAGCGCCAAACCACCCTCTGCACATGCGCTGTAGATGCTTAAGAAGCCAACACGGAGGTAAGAAGCACTGAGTGATGGGTGGTCCGACCTTCTCTGAGAGACGTAAACAACAAATGGTGACACTTGACTGACCAAATCTAATAATATTGAAAAATTAATATCTCAGTTACCCTTAATTTCCGGCGGGAATATCACAGAAGTAAAAGGTCTTAGAAATGTCTAAACATTACGAAAAACATATTAATAACAGCGAGAGAAAGACCGGTGTGCATGACTGAAATTTCACCATATTTTTTTCTGTATCTAACCGTGTATGACTCAATATTAAAATCCCTGGTGACATTTATCGCACATTGCCCTATGTTTTTCTGATAGTTTTTGGTGTGCTTTGAACGATTTGGACCTTCATATCTGTCGGGAATCATACATTTCAGAAATCTGATGGTATTTTTGAATTAGTGCACACAACTTTCCTATCCAAAATCGGTAACTTTGCATAAGTGCATCCAACTCTGTTGTGCGTGTTTAGACCGATGATGACCTTCATTTTCATCGGAAATTGTCCAGGGTTTTTTCAGAATTTTTTCGTGGGGCGCTTTCCAAAAAAAAAATGGCTAAGCGAATACAAAATACACAAAAGAACACTAGAAAATCATAAACCAAACCTAACCTAACTGACTCTCACCATATGATGGAATCACTTATTTCTTACCTTATTGGCCGTCTCTTCTTTGTCTTTGGGATAAGGGACGTGTTAACACAATGCCACATATGTTGGTCTTGATGATATTTACATTCGTTCTTGCACTTAGAACACTTTACTGAGGTCAGGAGAACACCATGAGATCTAACATATGCTATAGTTTCTTCGTTTTTTCCCAAAAACTAGCAATCAGCTCCATATAATTTAAGTGACACCCATGGCAGACTTCCACGGTCGGAAATGAATTTGAATTTGGAAATATGAGACCCAAAATAAAAATTGAATTTGATTGGGCCAAAAATACCACAAATTAAACCACAAATCATTTTGGTTGGTTGCCCCCAAAAAACACTTTTGATTGGCCACGTGACGTGTACGAGAACGCATGCGCGTGATTTATGAAGGAGACACGCAGTGTGGGAGGTGAGTTAGGCAATATTGGTGGATGATTAATGGAAGAAATAGAGAAAAATTGGATACACTATCTCTGTTATTATGGGTCCGACTAATTACCCAAATGTAGCCGCAATGAAGTCAAATGATGGTCCTACAAGAATAAATCGGACTGCCAATCACTTCTCGACTGGTATTTGGTGTCACGAAGTCACAAAAAATTGGAAACCTTAATTTAATCTGAGTTAATAGATCGAGTGCATGTACCTAACCTAACCTAACACAACTCAGATTAAATTAAGTTTACCAATTTTTTGACTATGACACCAAATAATAATCGAGAAGTGATTCACAGCCCAATTTACGCTTGTAGGACCATCATTTGACTTCATTGCGACTACATTTAGGTACATTTGAGTAATTACTCGCTCCCTCTGTACATGCACGCGATCTATTAACTCAGATTAAAGTAAGTTTTCCAATTTTTTGTGACTTTGTGACACCAAATACTAGTCGAGAAGTGGTTGGCAGTCTGATTTATTCATGTAGGACCATTATTTGACTTCATTGCTGCTACATTTGGGTAATTAGTTGGACAGGTTATTATACATTTGCGACGTTATGTAATAGAAGAAAATTATCTTAAAATTAGACATCTTATTCGAATATGAGAATAGATTAGGGGTAGGAATGTGGGGTGCGAAAACGCAATAATACCCCCAAATCTATTTTCATATTCGAAAAAAGCGTTTAATTTTAAGATAGTTTTCTTCTATTACATTACCGTTGCAAACGTATAATAAAAGAGTAGGTGCATGCCAGATATTATTTTCTTCCATTAATCTTCCGCCATTATCGCCCACACTACCTCCCACTAAGTGCGTTTCCTTCATAAATGATCATGCGCAAGCATTCCCGTACACGTTACGCAGCCATTCAAATTCATTTTCGACCATGGAAGTCTACGATGGGTGTCACTTCAATTATATGGAGCTGATTGCTAGTTTTGAGGAGAAAAACGAACAAGCTATAGCATATGTTAGATCTCATGGTGTTTTCCCGACCATAATAGTGTCCTAGTGTATGAACGAGTGTTGATATCGTCAAGACCAACATAGTTGGCATGAACCAGGCCAATAAGGTAGGAAATAGATGAATCCATCATATGGTGATAGTTAGGTTAGGTTCGGTTTGTTTTTTTCTAGTGTTTTTATTTTTTTTTGTATTGGCTTGGTCACGATTTTTGTCGGAAAACGCCCCACCCAAAATCCCCGATAACTAAAACAGGTAATTTCCGACGGAAATCAAGGACAAAACCAATCAAAACACACAAAAATACTCTAGAAAAATAGAGTTTTGACTTCCTAACAGTTGTGTGAAATAATGCAAATTTACCTATCTAACTACAGGGGTGATTTTAACTAAATATTTTAACAAGTAACCTACCTAACTTTTAACACCTGAAACTCGGTAATCCATTCCCCAAGAACTCGTCTAATGGCTCATGTTCCTACCGCTACCATTTAACAAATGTTTCTATAACATTACATTAAAACTTCCCCGCGTCCATAAGCCATTCCCAAATTAACCTGTAAAAAGTAAAAATACTGTACAGCGTAACACCACGCCAAATTCCCTCACGGTACACGGTTAAACTCAAATACCTGACTGGAAATAAAGAGAATAACATCTTAAGACTCTTGAATGAATGCTTGCGCATTAATCTATGAAATAAACCATCATATAAGCCAACGTATTACAATAAATACGGTTTTTTGTGGTCGCAACACCCTCGTGTAGGAGCTTCCTCAACTTTGTTTACATCAGTCCGCACCGATACCTCCACTTCACCCTCACTTTTCTCCAAATATCCTTTTCATTTCAGGTAAATTTAAACTTTTAAACTCCTTAATAATATCTACACTTCTCAATGTTTATAACCTCTTCAGCAATAAAGCCAAGATGAAGAAGATGTACAAAGATTAATACTTGTATCAACAACCTCTACACACACTCACGTCCACTCAAATAGGAAAGAACTTCAGAGGGTGGCTACCAGATGGCTCTGCTTTGATAACACATCTGGAAAATATGTAACTCAATATAAACAATAATCGATACGCTCTTAAAAGAAATTTGCACAAATACTATGTATGGTTAATTTTTAAATTATGTTTATTGTTATCATTAAACTTTCAATATAGTTGTTGTTTTTTAATGAAGTCAAGGTGCATTTTTTATATTTGAAATTCCACTTGTCTCCAGAAAAAAAAATTGTAGACAGATTGATAAATGGATCATTATATAGATATATTTCCAATAAAATAATCATACAAATTTAGCATGATAATCAAATCCAGTGTCAGCGTCGTATATAAATAATGGTTACTAAAGGGGCGGATCGAGGAATATCAAAAGGGGAGGGGGGTCCAAGAAGTTGAATGGGGGGAACATGGAGGAGCAATATTATGGGCATTTTAAGGCCTTTTTGAAGCCATGTACAGTTGATATTAGGAGATATTCTGAGGCCAATAGTAATTACTTTCTACTGTGCCAAAACGCCTGAGTAAAATACTGCATTAAATAAAGTATTGCAATTTTCTGATAAAAAGGTGGGCTCCGGATAAGGGAAGGGCCCCCTGTGGTAAGGCATAAGTTGGTTATGAGTAGCCAAAAACGGTTTTTAAAGCTTATTTCCTTTGGTTTCCTTATTTGATGCAAATAAATTTATTATGTTGTAGTGGATTTCTCCCCTACAAACATTGTTTGTCACTGAGTAGCCGACCCTGCGAATTCCACAGTGTATGCCTCGTGGTCTGGGTCAACCAGCGCCGCCTTACATGACGGAGGTCAACTACTAAGCCTCGCCTACCTCCGCTATTTAAGACCTGACCTCGTGGTGACCACCCTCTTCTTCTAGCTACAGCCGCAGCAAGCTACACCACCTCCTCCGCCGCTGCCTGGCGGTCCTCGCTCCCGCCGGCGAGCATGGCGACCCACAAGCTGGTCCTCCTCTGAGCATCCTCACCAACCAGCTCTCTCTACATCACGCTTGTAACCACGCTGCCACTTCCCAGCACCAAGCTGCACTGTGCATCCAATACAACATGTATACAGAGAGCATATTGTGAGTTTCCTTTCTCCATCCCATCCTGAGTCCGAACAAACTACCATACCCCACAATGTACCAGAATCCTGGAGGATAGCGAATGTAATACCGATTTTCAAGAAGGGGGATAGATCACTATCCTCTAACTACCGCCCAATTAGTTTAACATCAATAGTAGGCAAATTACTGGAAGCAATCATCTCAAACTCTATTCGAAATCACCTGGAGAAGCACAGATTGATCAATGATTCCCAGCATGGCTTCACAAGCGGACGCTCTTGCCTAACTAATCTATTAACATTCTTTTCATCAGTTTTCGAATCGGTGGACGAGGGGCACAATTATGATGTGGTATATCTCGACTTTAGCAAAGCCTTCGACAGAGTCCCCCACGAAAGACTAATTAGAAAGGTAGAAGCACATGGCATCAAAGGTGACATCCTTAAATGGATTAGGGCGTGGTTACAGGACAGGAAACAGCGAGTGAGCATTAACGGCACTAAGTCCCATTGGAGCAACGTCACAAGTGGTGTTCCCCAAGGCTCAGTACTTGGACCATTATTATTTATTATATACATAAACGACATAGATATCGGCATAGACAGCAACATAAGTAAATTTGCTGATGACACTAAAATAGGACGTGTTATTAAATCTGACGAGGACTCGGCAAAACTACAGGAAGATCTAAACAAGTTTTTCGAATGGTCTGAAAAATGGCAGATGAAATTCAACGTCGACAAATGTAAAGTACTCAGTATAGGAGATGTAAACAGGGAAACCAGATACCAGATGAACAACGATGCCATAGAGAAATCCGACTGCGAGAGAGATTTAGGAGTAATGATAAGTAGGAACCTTAAACCAAGTAAACAATGTGTTTTTGCTCGTAACAAGGCTAATAAAGTACTTGGGTTCATACAAAGGAGTGTTAGTTACAAGACTAGCGAGGTCATCCTAAAACTGTATCTTGCTCTTGTGAGACCACACCTGGACTACGCAGTTCAGTTCTGGTCACCGTATTACAGAATGGATATAGAATCCTTGGAAAGAATTCAGAGGAGAATGACAAGACTAATCCCGGGCATTAGGAACCTTGAATATAGAGACAGGCTAAAGCATCTTAATTTGCACTCCCTCGAGAGACGTAGAGCGAGGGGCGACCTGATAGAGGTGTATAAGTGGAAGGCAGGGCTAAACAAAGGGGACATTACAAAGGTACTCAAACTATCCAACCAGGAGCGAACTCGTAACAATGGTTTTAAATTAGATAAATTTAGATTTAGGCGTGAAATCGGTAAACACTGGTTTGGAAACAGAGTAGTGGATGAATGGAACAAGTTACCAAATATCATCATTAACTCGAATACGCTGAATAGCTTCAAACATAGGTTGGATGCTTATATGAGCAATAGGGGTTGGGTGTAAACGGGACTGCCCAGTATGGGCCAATAGGCCCGCTGCAGTTTCCTCCATTCTTATGTTCTTATGTTCTTATGTATTATATATTTCAGAACACAAAAATACAATATGAACACAATAAATGTATTAAATAGAAATAAAACATAGCACTATGTATGTAGTTGCAATATAGAATTGGTTAGGTTAGGGTTGGCATTACTTTTATCGTTTGCACTTCGCCACTGATCGGCTAGTTAACCTCTTTGGCGGTTGAATACGTCTCTGCTACGCACTGTGGCATGTACTGTGTAATATGGACTTGTGGTTTACCTCTACAGTATATTGTTCTCTGAATTGTTCTTATGTACGAATGTGTGTGTAAGGGTCCCTTTAACACACATTAGTACATAAGAACAATTTCTAATTTCCCTGGACTACATCCCTTACTAAGGGATGTAGTTCAGGGAAATTACAAAAAAATTCTACCAAACGTTGAACAAATCCATAATGAAATACTTTTACTTTAATTTTATCCTCTTTACCACTGATCGGTTCGTTAGCCGCTTGGGTGATCGGTCACGTCTCTGATTACTTTTCCTTTTCTTTTATCCTCTTCACCAAAAGATCGGCTCGTTAGCCGCTTGGGTCACGTCTCTGTTACGCACTGTTGGTAAGTACTGGGCATGCACCGGCTCCTGAATGTACCTGAACCCGATCCAGTGTTGGACAAGTCTTGTCTTGAAAGAGCTCACACTCGGTGTCGTCACAACACTTTCTGGTAGATTGTTCCAAGAGTTCACAGCTCTCACTCTGAAAAAGTTTGCCCTCACAGTTTTCTGGACTTGCGACTTCTTCAATCTTGGGCTGATACTTGGTAGTTTAGTTTAGAACATAAGAACATAAGAAAGTGGGATACTGCAGGAGGCCGACTGGCCCATACAGGGCAGATCCCTTTCACACCCATCCCAGCACTTCCATGTGCCTATCCAACTTCGTCTTGAAGCTCCCTAGCGTTCCCGATCCTACTATAGCACTCGGTAGCCTATTCCACATATCCACAACTCTATTACCAAACCAGTGCTTGCCTATATCCTTTCTGAATCGGAATTTATCTAATTTAAAGCCATTTGTTCTAGTTATTTCGTTATTACTGAGCTTCAGAACATCTTCCATTTTACCCTTGTTAATCCCACTTACCCACTTGTACACCTCTATCATATCTCCCCTAACTCTACGCCTCTCTAATGAATGTAAGCCTAAGCTTTTCAGTCTTTCTTCATATGGAAGGTTTCTAATATTATGGATCATTTTTGTCATTCTTCTTTGTACTCTCTCCAAAGAATCTATGTCCATTCTATAATAAGGACACCAGAACTGAACCGCATAATCCATGTGTGGCCTCACTAATGCTAGGTAAAGTTTCAAGATAACGTCAGCAGTTCTGTTACTCACAGACCTAGATATGAACCCAAGAATCCTGTTTGCCTTGTTGCGAACGCTAATACATTGTTTTCTAGGTTTCAAGTCGTTGCTAACAAATACACCTAGATCTTTTTCACAAACTGAGTTTTCTATTTCCGTGTTACCTAGTTTATACTTAACGTTTGTATTCGTCTTCCTATCTGTAGTACCTTGCATTTATCAGTATTAAAATTCATTTGCCAGTCTACTGACCACTCATGTAAGGTATCTAGATCTCTTTGAAGGTGTTCAAAGTCACTGTCTGAATTTATCACTCTCCCCATTTTGGTATCATCTGCAAATTTACTAATCCTACTAGTTATGCCTAAATCAAGATCATTAATGAATATAACAAACAGCAGAGGGCCTAATACAGATCCCTGGGGAACTCCGCTTCCCCAGTCTGACTTTAATCCATTTATGCTGACTCTTTGTTTCCTACCAGTTAACCATGACCTAATCCATTTTAATACTGATCCACCTATTCCATGTGCTTCTACCTTCCTTATCAATCTCTCATGAGGACTCTATCGAATGCTTTACTGAAATCTAAATAAATTATATCATATGACTTATCATTATCTACCGCTTCATATACTTCTGAGAAAAAGCTAAGCAAATTTGTGAGACAAGAACGTCCCTGGGTGAACCCGTGCTGAGAAGAATGAATTAAGTTGAATGTTTCAAGGTGGCTTCTGATTTTTGTAGCAATAATTGACTCTAGCAACTTGCCTATTGACGTGAGACTAATGGGACGGTAATTTGATGCTATTGATTTATCACCCTTTTGAAAATCGGAACCTACATTTGCAAGTTTCCAAGCTTCTGGCACTAGGCCCGATTCTAATGACTTATTAAATAAAACTGCTAATGGATTACTCAACTCATCTCTACATTCTTTTAATATTCTAGCATATACCTCGTTTAGTTTAGTTTAACAAAGTTATTGACAAAGATTGGAGTACAGTTTGCCTATTCTGAGTAATTCAGTCAGGTCTTGACACCGAGGGTGGTACTGTAGTGGATTCCTCCCCTACAAACGCTGTTTGTCGCTGAGTAGCCG